GGTTAACTACACACCCACGATTGAATCCATTTATATCATGTATAATAAGATGAACGCAGAGCTGGAATATAAAGCCTAGCTGCTGTCCCAAGGACTCCAAAGCAATTTTTTGCTTTTGGCTACTGCTCAGGACCTAACTTCTTTTTAAATAATTGTCTCCCAGGAGAGTTCACTGTAAGCTTGAAAGGAACAGAACAAAAGTAAATCGATAAATGGGATTAAAATAGGTAAACAACAAAGATGCCTGGTGTACCTTGTGCACTTTTCCCACATGGTAGGTACTGGTGGTTCCTTTGACATACCTCACATAAATCCATATCTATTGAGTATTAATTCGGTAGACAATCTCTTCCATACTTATCGGGGAGATAGTATGAATGTGGAATAAATCTTATTATTCCATTATTTACCAATATATTATTACTTTAGGAAAACAATATGCCCATAATGCCTCCTTTTCCCTACTAGCACTAACATAACGGTCTTTTGAATGCTAGTATTAATGTCACTTAATGAGTGAATGAGATCACTAGTGTACTTGGTGCTGCAGCTCTCAATGCATCCTTTATTTCAGCAATAACGAGAATTATTGGATCATTGGAAAAATATTCCCTCTCGAGTTAGTGAAAATTGTTATGGACCTGCTTTTTCTAAACCAAGATAGTTATTATTTTTTTTTTTTTCTTTTAAATCTCTGATTTGAAAATCTGGGCCGTTGTTGCTTATCTAACTTATATTTATTATAACAAGAAGAGAGAACGTGGAATCCAAAACTGGACAGTCGAATATGGTTTGTATAGATTGTGGTTTTGTTTATTCGTTCAGGTGATCAGCACTATGCATGCGAGATGTACACATTTGGCAACTCTTTAGCAAAGTACTCTTTTTACAATGCCTTGCAGCAGATTTTAAACGTATACTAGGTAATGTGTTCCACCAGAGTGCCTTATATAATTCTTAAACCATTCACTACTGGAAACCTGCTGATCCTACTCTTAAAATTTAATTTATTTCTCTTTTTGCAATGTACTGACCTCGAAGATCATTTTAGAATGGGTGATATAATTTTGCCTGGTGTTACAAAACATTAGAGCAGGGCTATTCAAATATTGCAACATTTTATAAGGAATTCACATGAGGGAAAATACTGATATTTTATCCCGTCCAACGTATAAATAAAATTGGTGACACCGCCTTTGACTGCATTAACCACTACTTACACACCACACATGCAGTTTATAAAATAAAATCTTACAATCTCAATGGATTCATAATCTAAGTGGCTATGGTCATTCCATTGTATGATATATTAATATATGATTCAATTTATCAAAAGTTAATTTTTCATGATTGCTCCCCCTGTATGAACTAGAACTCAAATGAGACTTTGCTGGCAAAAACAAATGCCTGGCAACATTTTAATGGAGTTGTAGTTTGATGCAGGAACATTCAGACTTCAGACCTGCTCCTATAATGTTCTGATTGCTTGACTGGCGTTTCTTCACAGTACAAGATGTCTTCATACATGGTCATTCATAACACCAGTTCCATCAATGTTAAAGGACTGACTACTAGACATTCCTATTGCTGACTAAATGGCTTGATTTTAACGAATTGTGTGTTTATGTAATCATTATTGTATTAAATTACTATATTTTGACTCCATGTAAGAGGTTTGTTGTTTTTCTTTGTTTTTTGTTTTCCCTATTGATAATAACTTTCCTGCTTGTTTTATGAATTTCCTCAAATAACTATATATGGATATAGTTTTAAAAAAGATACGAGTGTTCATTTTATGGGATTGCTATGAAACACATTGAATTCTCACTTGACTGAATAACTCTGCCAGTGTAACAAAGTCAATTTTAAATCTGAGGCAGAGTTGTAGAATGTTACCAATTTGACAATTTTGGCTGTAAATTTAAAATTTTCTTTTGACTTTAGTGAATAACTCTGATATTGTATTTATTCTCTGTTCACGGTGTGTTGTGTCTCTGTCCCAAAATCTCAGAAGAACCTATGTATTTCTATACATTGTGTACATAGACAAAATGACAACACTGTACATCAGAAATGGCAGGAATAAGTGTTGGCACTGAAGGGTTGGTACTGTTTACGTCTCCCTCCTCCCCCCCCCCTCCACTTTTCACAAAAACTGGTTTGTTGTGATCTATGGTTTTTATTAGCTGCAGTGATAAATAGTGGACACTAGGTGGCAGCTCTGGAAACTTTGCCGTTGTATTATTACTTTATGTGGATGTTTTAGTTTTCTCAATTGGCTGCAATAGCAGCAGCATTGATAATGGAGATAAGATAGGTTGTGTGTATTGATATATTGATAGGAAGATTTAGCTGCAAAAACCTCTGCAGTTTTTTTTTGTTTGTTTTTTTGTTTTTTTATTTCAAATCACCACATTAATGGAGCTTATCTACTAAACAAGTAATTGTAACCCTGTTATAGTCACATTTATTTTGCAACTTGATTGTCCTTTTAACAACTATTTGCTGTTTGTTAATCACACAGGTTGGGTGTCCGTTACAAGTGATTTAACCGCTTCGAGGCTACATCACTGGCTGTCACTTTGGGTAGCTTTTAGAGTTTTTTAAAAAAAAAATTACTATGCATGAAATTGGATACAAAAATCAGCATGACTTCTCTTTAGACTGCCATCTTAAAGTGTAACACAGCCCTCTAGTGGCAGTTTGTTTTGGGGGTTTTTTTTGTGTGTGTGTTTTGCTTTTGGTTTTTGTTTTTTGGGGTTGTTTGGCTCTCAAGGAAATCCTTAAACACCAGTCAAGTGAATATACTTCCATTTCTACATACATGAGTCTCCCGTTGTTCTAGTTAACAGTGACCCATGATCAGTAGACCATATTAAAGCTAAATGGTTTAGTGCCCAAACACCTGAGTAAATTGGTAAATATTTGCTATCTTTGCAGTGTTAATATTAAATTTCAGACTTGTTATAATTCTGCTGTAGTACATGTTTTGTGACTTTGTAACTAATTGCTGTGTGCAATTGCTAAAACAAAAGTTACAAGTATACAATGACAAAATAATCAAGAAGGGCCTGGCAGCTAATAGTTGGACATTGCATGGCTGAGCTACAGGACTGAAATTGATAATTACCTGTAACTTATGGGATCTCACTGTGGAGCACCTAGTTTGTTTGTTTGTTTTTGTTTGTTTGGTTTTTTTTTTATGTGAGATGGCTCTGACCCTTATTTAGACAGAGTCCCCTTTTTTGATTTTCCAGTGTTGCCTGGCTTATCTCCCTGCCCCCAGGCAGTTGCGGTTATCCCAGTCTCTGCAGTAGTGGTGCCTCTTCGATTTGGCTTTCCTGGCATCATATAGGCCCTGTGGCTGCTCCTGTACCATGACGGTCATCCAAAACACCAGCTCAGGCTATGGCTACTTCTCTCAATTCCTTTTAATGAACTGTGTACCTAAATGTAGGTGCGCCTGGTAAGTGCAGCCAGAAAATTTACCAAGATTAACACCAGCCAGCCAGCCAGCCAGCCATCTACCACCACTTACCAGGCCATGGGCGTCTGGGAGAGATCGCCTTCCTCCCGCGTGAAGGCCTTTCCTTGGTCATTGATATGGACACCTGGAGCAGCCAGTGATTCCTCTTTATTTCCCGCTTGGAGTATGTCTTTTACAGTCTAGGATCTGCTTGTTGAAGTGGGCTAATGGGTCATCACCTAATGCTGGTTCTCATATATGCCTCATACTATTATGTTGACAAGATAAGTCTTTGTGTGTGTTTACCAGTCTCTTACTAAATATCCACACAGTGGCTTTTAATTTAAAGTTTTTATAGTTTAAATTATGATTTTAAAATATTGTGCAGATAATTAGCCACGAGGAGTGCACACTGTGACTATTGTTGTACTGATTTTGCCACTGCACGATCGAAGTATTAATAATATAATAGATGGAAGCAAATTTTTTTTATTATTCTTTATTTTTGCTGTGCATGAGAAATACAATCTAGTCACAACAGTTATAACAATGACATCAACAAGCATATAGCAAAAATAGCTGTATGGTGTAACGGACTGTTTTGCACACAAGCGGTTAAACCGTTTTGGCGATATTCCCCTTTCTCAGCTGCACAGACCGCTACTGCAAGCACCAATCTCCCGAACTGCCAACCCACGAATTCACCAACTCCCGAACTGCAACCAAGGGAATACTCGAAACTCCCGAACTGCATACCAAGTAGCACTCCAAACTCCTGAACTGGAGACACACGAATAGCTGTTAGCAGACTAACAGGAAAAGCCCCCAAGCGGCTTACACTCCTGGCAATCAGTCTCTAACAGCACACAGCAAATCCCCCAAAGATGAGACGACACTTCGTTTTTGAGGGTCAAGCAGAATCTGGTTTACTGGGGCTAACTGCCCGGCTTTTATGCAGGTCTCCCACCTGGTGGACACTCCCCTAGGGGACCAGATGGGAGACTGGGACACACAGGGTACAAGAACGAATCACAGACTTACACATTTCAACAATCCCACAATGCATCACAATCCCCCTTCTCTGTCCTGGAGATAATTGGGAAGTAATCCAATTATCTCCAAGGACAGAGGCAAAACTCCATTACACACATTTTCAGTAAAAGACATAAAATTACACACAGTTACATTTACTACATAAAACATAGACATTCTACATATCCCCAGATAGCTTAGATCTGAGCGCATATTACTACCGAATGGCGCTCAGATCACATACATATAGTTCAATCGCCATGGAGCCAAAGTTTTTCACCTAGTCTTTCGTTTCACGAACGGGCTCCATGGCTTAGCTATCTGGGGTGATGCTGTTCACCCGGTTAAATTACCGAATGAACAGTCATTCGGTTCCGCTACCGAATGGGAAGGTAAGGAGGCTGGTGGCTCAGCGGTGTATGCGCCAATAAGTGTCCGCTTTCAGTTCCATAGTTTGGGCGCTGAACACCGCTGGCCGTTTGTGAGGTAAAATGGCCACTGCCACGTGTTCGGCAACCGAACAAAGGCCACCCAGCATTCATCAATTAAGCTGCGGTTAACCGCAGCTTCTGGGCGGTCAATTGACGGCACCATCCATCGTTCAGTAGTTTGTTCAGTGGATGGAATCTACCGAACACCCTGGCAGAAAGGCACGAATAAACCTTTCAGCAGGGAAAATAACAGGTTTGAACTGCAGGGCCATAGTCTAAAGGGAGCAGGCGCGCAACCAGGCTTCTCCAGTGCATAGTGGCGAGGTTGGTTCCGCCACATATGGCATCCCTAGAAAGTGCACAATTTTATGTAAACAAGCTAAATTCACATTGATTAGTTATAAAGCGCCAAAAAGAAATCCACAGGCCTGGACAATGGTATCAGATAGTATAGTTGCTTATAGTATCCTACATGAGTTAACATATAGTAGAGCAATCACATGAAAAGCAGGGATAGTAGGCATAACATGCAGGTAAGTACCACTGGAAGTTTTAGTCTAAGAAGCAAACCGTAAGACACAAGGCCATGGAGCTCCAAGAAGCACCTAGCACAGCCACAGAGCTTGCCAAGCATAGATGTAATTGGGGAGAAACTGTAAGCCTAGTAGCCCCACATGAGTCTCTCACCCCCTCTGACCTCCAGCATGACAATATGGCAAAGTCCAGCATGCACCATAAGTCCTCACTCCCTTGCTAGGGTTTAATGACACAGCACTGGAACTGCATGAGCCAGACTGGGGAGCACTTAGGTGCCTTCTTGATGAGGTATTCAGCCGGCTGAAAACTGAAGTTGATCCTGTCGGGCTTGTAACAGCGGCAGTCTTGGCTTTCAAGCATAAGTGCCCTCTCAGCAGGCCCCACCGCCCGCAAAGTGCTGGGTGAGCTCCATAGGCGTAGGCCTGTTCCGAGTCCGATACCTCCAGTAGGGACTATACGAATATCCGAAATGTTGCTGTAACTTGTTACTGTTAATAGACTGCTTGTTGGGGAAACTGCTTGGTGTGCCTAAGCTTTTTTTTTTTTTTTTTACAATTCTTGCTATACAAATACAACTCAGAGTGATGGAGTGAGGTGGGTACAACTTTTAGGGGAAAAACACTGGAGTCAACTGTTATCACAAACTAACTTGCATGTGATGATGCAAATTTTTCCTCAACAGTAATTTCCAGAATATACAGCGTGATTAGTCCTGTTCTGGTCAGTGCTATTACCTTTTTTGTAATTAATAGATTTTTGACCACATTAGTACAGTTATGTTGGAATGTGTCCCTGTTTGGTGATGGTCCTGCCATTGTATTGTAGAAAAAAAACTGCAGAGAAACATAATGTGCCAGCTCTATTTCTGACATGGGTATTGAAACCGAAAAATAAAATGGGAAATTGGTCTGATCCTGCAATAATTTTCAATTTTATTTATCTCTGCATGTGATATGTTTCAAGTGCTATATTCTGTTTGCTCTTCCTAGTGGAAACATGCAAATTGTTTGTACACTTGTGCCACATGACAATATGAAATGCTGAGAAATTACTTAACTAGCTCTGCTTTAATCCTTCAAGATCTTTAAATATTGTTAAATAGGTTTTTAATTAGATTTATTTTGGTGTTTTTTTTCCCTTTGGAGAATGGTTGAACATGGAGCGGAATAGTTCTGATTCCCAACCCTGGGACCAGGCCACCTGTGTTTAGTAAGCAAGACATTATGTCTGTAGGAATATGTGCCTATTAGTGATGTCCCGAACGGTTCGCCGCGGACTCATCATTGAGTAAACTTTGACCCTGTACCTCACAGTCAGCAGGCACATTCCAGCCAATCAGCAGCAGACCCTCCCTCCCAGACCCTCCCACCTCCTGGACAGCATCCATTGTGAAGCTGCATTCTTAGTGAGCTGTCCAGGAGGTGGGAGGGTCTGGGAGGGAGGGTCTGCTGCTGATTGACTGGAATGTGCCTGCTGACTGTGAGGTACAGGGTCAAAGTTTACTCAATGATGAGTCCGCAGCGAACCGTTCGGGACATCACTAGTGCCTATTCAATCAAAAGAACATTTGATTGAGATCAGATACTGATGTTCAACAAAAATATCTGATGTTCAGTTAGGTATTCTAATTCATCACAGTCAGGGCTGCCATCAGAAATGTTGGGGCACCTGACAAAGCTCATGATCTGGGCCACCAGAGCCCACCCACGAGTCCGCCCACAGAACCCGCCCCTAAATCAGCCCACAAGGATGCAGTGTGTAGTAAATGCACAGTGTGTGTTTAGTGTGTTTAGTGGATGCAGTGTGTGTAAAGTGGCCAAAATGTAGATCAGCATCTGTTGTACAAGTCCCATACTGCTTTGCTAGCTGTGGATCTACAATTTGCCCATTCTTGAAGGGCTTTATTTAGCACTCAGCAGTGTATGTGTGTTTAAATGAAAGCATGTAAGGAGTATGCGAATGTTGGTGTTTGAATGCAGGCGTGCATTTGTGTGTAGTGTGTGTGTATACAGATACACACATTGACAGACATGCAAATACACAGACACACAGAAACATACATTGACACATACTTACACACAGATTGACATACATATGAGATACAGACACTGACATACATGCAAATATACAGACACACAGATACACACTCTGATACAAACAGATACACATTGACACAAATACATACAGCTACACACACACATACATAAAACCAAAATATAAATAACATATATGGTTTAAAAGGTAGAGTCTATGGGACTCACACAAAATAAAATTAACTTTTGTTGAGAATCTCATAAAACAAAGATAGTGTGCTCCAGCAATAAAAAAAGAAAATGGGTCATGCACATAAAATATCGGACGGGGCGTGCAAGATAAAAAGGTACACAACATGACACTGATAATTGTTGCATTCTGTATGTAAAGATCAAAAAGCAGTCAGCACTAAATAGAAAAGATTCACACTGCAAGAAAATTACCAAAACAAACAGTAACAATCTGATCAAAACAGTTAAATAGAGCCCAACTAAAACAAAAATATGGGGCATATTAACTAAGTAGTGAAAAGGATTGTGGGGAAAAAAGTGTACATAAAAATCAAATACACAAGTCACTAGAAAGCATGTACATAAAAGCAGCAGCACTGCTATAAAATAATGAAATATAATAAAACAAAAGACTACAGGCCTGTGTAAAAAACAATAACATACACTCAAGTGCACACTGACACCCAGATACAAACTAACACAAAGATACACACACTGATAGATACACAGACGCAAACACAGATACACACATACACTCTGTAACTGTGTGTGTTACTGTCTACATGCAGCGGTGCGTTTGACAGTGTGCAAGTGGCTGTATTTGACAGTATATGCGAATAATTGTGTACATCAGACTGTATCTGACTGTCTTCGCCCTGTAGTGAGTCGGCACATAACATTATCCAAGCATCGGCGTCATATTACAGGATGTGCAAGGGATGTGTGCATGAAGAGCACAGAGTTCCCAGCAGCAACCACTGACTACCAGGGACTGAGGATCCACTCTAGCCCTCTCTATATATACACACACTTAACTACAGAGATACACACATACACAGATATAATTAGATATACACACGCAAACATCGCATACATACACACGTGTGTGTATATATATATATACAGACACACAATCACAGATATACACACACAGACATACACCTATTGTGTGTGTGTGTGTATATAAATGTGTATGTGTTTGGTACATAGCTCCATTATTTGGTGTCCTTAAATATTGCAATCCCACATAAGGATAACAAATAAGGGTGTTGTCTACTAAACAACTGAAATTAAGAAAATGTTTTGGTTTTTTTAATTGATCTTTTAGCTGTATAGTTGATAATTCTCTAAATTGGAGTCCTTATGTGAGATTTCCATATTTAAAGATACCAAATTAGGGTGCTGTTTAGCAGATAGCTCCCTTATCCTTATTTGGTGTCCTTAAATATGGCAATCCCACATAAGGATAGCAAATAGAGGAGTTATCTGATAAACAAAGATCGATGTTACGAGGTGTCAGCTAGCGCACGAACAAGAAATCTGGGTGGCTAATGTGAATTATATGCAAATTTGTTGACTGATGCCAATATGCACTGCATGTGGGCATCAGGCAGCCAATGGCAGCACATTACCCCATCCCCTAGTGAAAGGTTTTAGTGCCCCCCCAGTTTGGATTGTGGTATCTTATGTGCCTACCCCCTATATATTGTTCCTATGTGTCTATGTATCTGCATGTGTGTGTCAGTGTGTATTTAGGTGTGTATATGTGCATACATCTCAGAATCTCACCAACACTACACACAAATACACCCCTGCATTTCAACGTCAACACTACATACAAACTCCACCATTATTTATAACCACACCACTGCCTTCAAAAACCACACTACATAAAAATGCATGCCTGCATTCAAACGCCAACACCACATACAGACAGACATCCTACATTCACTCAATCATACTCCATACAAAAACATGCTTACATTTAAAAGCATAAACACTGCTTAGTGCTAAATACATTTTTTTTTTTTTTATTGTGGTTGTTTTTTACTTTTTAAAGTTGGGGGTGGAGTGGGTGTCAAAAATAGGACCCGCCCCGGGTGCCAAATGCTCTAGGTACACCCCTGCCTGCAGTCCTCTGTATGGAGACACTGAACTTTCCTTTTAGAGATGCATTGATTCAGTGCATCTCTAAGAGAAGATGCTGATTGGCCAGGGTAGTGTCTGGCTCTGCCACATGCCCCATCCCCTTGGCGATCTCAGCAAACTCAATGCTTTTCTATAGGAAAGCATTGTGATTGGCTCAGATCATCACTTCTGATTATGTCGGCCAAGGAGGCAGATCTGGGATAGAGCCAGTAGCAGCAGACTGAAATAAAAGTAAGATTTTAAATACTACAAGGCTGCATGCTCTATATATTTCCTATAAATTTCTACGAGTGATATACGTCCTGCAAAACATGTAATGAGGTTTCCTTAATACAAAGAAAAATGTAAAGGGGTAACGAGGTTTTAATTATAGTTTTGGCACAAACATTGCTAGGTGGTCGGTGGACATCGTCTTGAAAGGTCCTGAGGTCCTGAAAAGCCCATGGTTGTTTGTCACTCTTTGGTTTTTAGCCCCAATTACCCTGTAATATTGAGATAGAGATAACATGTCAAAGTATATAATGTAACAGTGCCACTTTAAGGCACCATATTTGGAGTTAAATATAAAGTACAGTGGTGGGTTAAAGCTGTGGTTGTAGGCTTGTAATGCAGTGGATACACTGGGTAATGATGTGTGTGCAATACAGAAGGAAGAGTTTATACATATAAGGCTAGATAATAATCTGAATGAATTCAAAGATATGGTGTCATAATGCAATTCACAGAACGTTGTAGAGTTGGCCATAAGGTATGCTATAGGGCAGGCATAGGCAACCTTCGGCACTCCAAATGTTTTGGACTATACCTCCCATGATGCTTTACCAGCATTATGGGTGTAAGAGCATTATGGGGGATGTAGTCCACAACATCTGCAGTGCTGAAGGTTGCCTATCCCTGCTATAGGGTGTGGTTTGTGGATGAGCTAAACTCAATGGTTTGGTGGGGTGGTTAAAACTTACGCTTGAGCTTTGGAGCATTGGAGGGCATGGTGTACATTTTTGAATATATTTTCCAGGGCACTTGTGGGCATATGTGCAAGCTATGAGAATGTAATGCATGCCCACTTACCGGTGAGTGTCCCTAGGTAATCAGCATTCCACCCAGCTCACCAGACAGCTATGGAGAAAACGCCTCATGCAAATAGCAATGGCTTCCACACAGACCTACCGTAATTTTCTTATGACCTTTTTAATGTCCTATAAGGCAATGCATTTGTTTTGGAATCCTGCAGCATGTAAATTCTATTTACTACTTCCTGCACAACAGCATGAGTGTATAGGGGAAAACATCCAATCCAACCTGCAACTCCAACCTGTACATGGGGAGAATGTTAAATGGGAACTGTGGTGTGGGGTGTGCATGGCTAATATGATCCTCTACTAGATACCACAGATTAGACCTATTCATGCCTTTAACCCTTTAAAGAAACATGACATCTGTGACCTGTCACAATTCCCTTTTATTCCAGAAGTTTGGTCCTTAAGGGGTTAATCTAATTGATTCATCCACAACAAAACCCTTATTAGTTTTAAAATAATCGGTTTGTTTTTAAAATGAATGCAACAAATGGACCTGTGTACCTGGGATTGTGCCCTCAATCTAGCCAAACCACTTCCTCGCACTTAATTTATCAGATATCCTAGTAGTCTCACTTTCAGAATGACAGTCTCCCTTTCGGGGTCCTGTCCCGCCATCCATATTATGCTCTTTGGTGTCCCAGACCTGTGGCCACAAGGGAACTGACCTTGGGCAGCAGCGAGTGCTAGAACCATGCAGAGAGAGCTTTGTGCTAAGTGCCAGGCTGACAGGCCCTTCAGATGGCTGGCTTGCCCCTTTTCCAGATAGGCCTGTCCATTGGACATTGCCAGTGACCTATCCAGGGAATGGTGTATGCACGTGACTGACCCTGTGCATGGGTGAAGGTATGTGAATAATTATTTGTACTGCAGTCTGTTTAATCTGTGTACCTGCTTTAAATTGGGATAAGTGAAAATGTTATTTTATACCTCCCAATTAGAGGTATCAAAGGTGGGAGGTAGGAAAATTGGTAGGCGGAGCTGTGAGGCAACATTACCAATGACTATATCAATTTTACTGAAGATGCCCATAATGGGGTGGGCCTGTTCATCTAGCCCCCAGTCTTCAGGAACCATCAGGGAGTGCTGCTGAAGTGTTCTCTGTATGTACCTACTGCCCACTGCACTGGATGTGCAGTACTAGATGCAGTGGTGTATTTTGAGAGGGTGCTTCCCTAGGCATGACAGATCTCAGGAAACCCCTAATTTAAATTTATCCATCCCTTCCTGGTAAGACCACACCTCTTCCTGTTAACTAACACACTCTCTCTCGATCGATCGACATAATCTGACAGACACATACAATCATTCAGACACACACATTCACTGACACACACACAGATTTTCCCCCAACACTCACAATTATTATTATTATTTTATTTTATTTTTTTATTTAATCCACCCAGCCTCCCTACTTTTGGGAAAGCTGGGTGGATTTTTCACCTAGGGTCCAGTGGAGCTTCTGGGCAGGAAGGCAGGTGGGCGACTGCCCTAGCTGTCAGCAACGGAGCTGTGAAATCCCCCTGCTTGGTTCCCTCGCACAAGGCCAGGGCCGGATTAAGAGCCCAGTGGGCCTGGTGATGATAATTATGATGGAGCCTAATTACAGAATCTTATCGATGAAAAACACTAAAACAGTCATACCTCCCAAGCATCATGTATCTGATGGTGTTGGAGGGAAACTCAAAGGATGCAGCTTTAAGAAAACACATACTCTATGTTAATCTCTTTATCTAATTTATGCTTTCAAGTAAATCCATACCAACAGCAGTGTCCAGTGAAGCAGGAAGCCAATGGGCGGGGTAAAAGAGTAGGCCACTGATGTAAATCACATGACCAGAACTGACAGAAGGGGCGAACATACCCAAAAAGGGGGTATGTCTGTCCAAAGAATTGGAAGGCCAGCCTGGCATCAGTGTCCCTATGCATCACAGTGTCAGTGTCTCCATGTTGCCCAGTCCCCTAGTCTCCCAGTGTCTGTGTCCCCATGTCTCAGTGTGTCCCGTGTCACTAGGATACATGGGGACACTTGGAGATATGGGGCACTTGTGGATACAGACATGGGGACACTGAGAGACATGGGGACACAGACATTTGGGGACACTGGGAGAAATGGTGTCACAGATACTAGAGACACAGAGATATGGAGACACAGACACTAGGGACACTGGCTGGGAGACATAGGGACACTGGGAGACATGGGGACAAAGACACTGCCTGGGAGACATGGGGACACAGACACATGGGGACAATGGGAGCCATGGGGACACGGAGACACTAGGGACACTGGCTGGGAGGCATGGGGACACTGGGTGACATGTGTCTACCTATGTCTCACAGCGTCCCCATGTGTCTGTGTCCCCTAGTGTCTCAGTGTCCCCACGTCTTCCAGTGTCCCCTAGTGTCACATTGCCCCCATGTCTCCCTGATGCCTTTCCCCTCATCCCTCACTTCCCTGAGCTGTAGTTTGTTTCTGCAAGCTGGGAGCTGCTGTCTGAACTCTCTGTACTGTGTAGCTGTTCCCCTGCGTATCAGTGAGTAGAGAGAGGCAGGGAGGGATATGCTGTAATTTCCTATCCCTGCCTCTCTCCATACACAGTGACCCCTACTGGCCGGTGCTGGTATTGCAGAGTAATCTCCGTTTATACTGAGAAAAATAGTTGCATTTGTATTGCCGGTAATACTGCAATACCAGCACAGCCAGGCAGCCTCAAATACAGAATGTACCTTAAAATACCAGTCAGGAGGAAAACCTAAGAGTAGTGTTTTTTTTTTAAATGGGCCTGGGCCTGGGCCTGGAGCTGCAGCTCCATCAGCCCCTATGTTAATCCGGCCCTGCACGAGGCAGAGTGAGACCGGGAGCCGGAGTGGTCATATTCCGGCTCCTGGCATAACTGTTGGGTGCTCCCTCTCCGCCTGCCCTGGGGGACACAAAGGTGGCCTGCCGGCCAGCTCTTGGATCCCCATAAAATGAGGCAAACAAGGCATTAGTCTGGGCATTTGGGGTGGCGTTTTTTTTTTTTTGCTGCCACCTGGAAAGTGCCTTGTTTGCCTCGCGATAGATACAGCCCTGATTAGATGCATTCACACTGTGAAGCCCTGGAACATTCCCTTGTGCCCCCAGTTGCGGGTCACCATGGAACTAAAGCGAGACTGTTGGGAGCCTGTTAATTCCATGCATTACTCACCCCACAACCAAATCTCTACTTCTGCAAATTTTAAAATATAAGCATACAAATTAAGCCCTGCACTCAAACTCTCACTCCTCCTGGGTGGCAGCAATGAATGTAGTACAGATTAGTCCCAATACATACAATAAAAAAGAATAATCAGATTCCTATGCACAGTTGAATTATTATTATTTTTTTTTTTTAAACCCTTAAGGACACACAATGGAAATATTCCTTTATGCTGGCCTTCTGAAACCTTTAAAGGGGTTAATATCACTTCAGTGGCCATTAAAGTGTAAGCTCCCCTGCTACATATAAGACAAAACCTCTTAGGTGAGTCCTACACTAACATTTTACGTTGCTCCTTTCAGCTAAAAGGCAAAATCTTTAATGAGACGGGTCGTTTTCTAAACTACTACACACTTATTAACCCTTAATAGGGAACACGTAGTGGGCGGCAGCACTGTAACATGGCTGTGTGACACAAAAGCAAATAACAAACACACAACACTAAGCTCAAACTAAAGTGTAAGCTCCCCTGCTACATATAAGACAAAACCTTTTAGGTGAGTCCTACACTAACACTCCACCTTGCGCCTTTCTGCCTGAAGGCAAAATCTCTGAGACAGAGAGGGGTATTTTTCTAAACCCCTACACACTTATTAACCCTTAAAATGTGTGCTGCAAACTATAAGAAAAAGGTACATAGATTCCCAACCTAAATGGACTGAAAGAGCAACTCTGTAAAGACTCTAACAGTAAAAATATCACTAGTCATCTTAAAGGCTCATTATTCTTTTCACGCATTGGCCAATAAGACGCTCACACTAAACAACTGGCCACGGTCTGTATTTATCACCTTCACAAAGCAGAAAACACTGTCTCTGCATTCCGCACTATAACTGGACGTCAGCCCAGTACACCAGATGGTTTGGATTTATTAATAAAAAAATAATCCCATATTGCAAAGCTGAGCTACTCACTGGACCTCATGGATTAGATTTACAGTGCAGAAATGCTCTTTCCAATCATATTAACATGTAACATTTCCAATATGTTAGGATTTTGCATCATAAAATATATATTAGAGCAGGTTTTTTGTTAAACATCAACATGGCCATGAAATCGTAGAGAGCTGGTTCATCTAGATGCAGAAAAAATTGAATTGTGTCTGTTCACTAGAACATGCTCTGTGCTGTGGATTTATACTATACCATGTACTATTATTAGTTTAAACAGAGATTGAAGCCATATGCACTCCATGCTAATTTTATAAATTGTTTCTTTAAGTTAATCAATTTCTGGAATTCTATATAGTATATATATTTTTGTCACGAACGCACCCTACTCCAAGAGTGTGCGTGACGTAGTTGTGGTGGTGAAAGGGTTAAAGTACACTATTTGTCTGCACTAGACCGGAAATAATGACAAAATCCCCCTTTAACACCACCCACACTTAAACATAATAATATAACTATTACTACTTTAACGCTGCCACCACCAAGACAATTTATAAATGGGGTGCCTTGGTCCCCCAGGTAAATCAATAATAAAACCCACCAAATATTACTTAATACAATATTTAAGGAATTATAAAAATACTAACTAGTCTCTTCAGGTAACGTGATTCTTAACCAGACAAAGGCAAAACTTAATAAATGAATGTTTATTATGAGCAAAAGATAGTCACAGTGCATATAAAAATATATGATAAACAAATTATTTACACCAACAACAGATAAAAACAAAAAGGATAAAATACAGAAGTCCTAATTACTCACTTAGGTTTTCAAAGTACAACTTCTGTCCAGGGGGTCTCTGGCAAGGAAAGATGGTGACTCACCCAAAATTAGATCTTGGCCCCAAGCAAGTACACCAACACCCTTCAGGATCATTAGATATATACCCTGTGGTTTATCAAGTCTTGCCCAGGGGTGGAGTTAAGGCGTACCTACAGTAATAATAACTGACCACCTCCTTTGTTCCAGACCACTGTCAATCCAAATGGAAACATTTGACTCTATCTTCTTTTTTGTACCTGCCACAGAAATAATAATTGTATCTACAAATTGGTTATTATTTTCCCATTCCATAGACATGTTGCACGTCCCACCCACGATCCAATAGGACGGACATCACAATTCCTTTCCCTAGGGTCAAGTTAGGCCACTCATGTTTGGACTTGGTTAGAAGATGGCGCTTGTCACATTCCAAATATAACAAAAATGAGGCTTAATTATTATTCTGTGGGGGTAAATATGAATGTTTTTTGTCCTTCATTTGGATATGATACTAGAACAAAGCTAATGGCATTTACATATCAAAGAGATTTACTCACCACTTACAAAGTACAGGCCAAATGGATGAAGAGACATTCAGACTTTTTCCAAGTGTAGAACCTCACACCTTGCAGACTTCACATCCATACAGTAAAATCCTTTTCACATTCCTATGCCATTCACACTACCCCTTCTGTCATCTGCCCTCTGTGGGGGTCCCAGCTTCAAAAGATGTAACCCCTGTTGACCTCAGCAATAGCATCTCTGTAATTTGTGCCCTTTACTACAAGAAATCACATTAAAAGATGATATTCCATAGTGTCATAATAAATTATACACCCTTGCCGTGACACCTCCCCCAAATAAGAGACGCAATGGGAGAAGGCTCACATGCCTCTACCTTGTGTATCAACACTTGTTCCTTTTTTTGCCTCCACCTCATATACTCATCTTTTTCAGAACTCTGGTTCTACATGAATGGGGTAACCCTCACGTGTTCACACACCTCCCCCAAAAAGGCTTGCCCTTTGTCCCTAAGCCATATCACAGCCATATCCACAACACGCATGCCTGATTTGCCTGTTTCCATCTCCCACTGCGCTCTGATCACATCTCTCAGGCCACACCCACTGCGCCCGTGTAGTAGCTCTAAGGGGAAGAAACCAACCGATTTCTGCAGTACTCCCCTGTAAGCACACACAAGATGAGACAGAGGACACTCCCAGGGTACCTGCACTGTATCCACACTCCTTATCTGTTTTATTTTGTGGTCTGTCTGCTGGGCTCGTTGCACCTTTTTACTCTGAACCTTTGGTTCAGAATCAAAAAGTTGCTTAGAGACAGACGCCTTCTCCTGAGCTGGCTTGGGTGTATGTTGGAGGTGTGATTGTGATATGCTGACAAGGATGGTGGTTCCCCCATCAGTATGTTCCCCTGCGGCCATTTTCCCTGGACCCACAGGTTGAGACTGTCCATGCCCCTCACTTTGGGCAGACCGTGGACGGGTCCCCCTATCTACTGATGGAACCTCTGTCTCTCCCTCACCTCCACTCCATGTCCTCACACACACAGCACCTTGGGAACTGGCTGAGTCTTGTGCAGAGTAAGGCTCACACACACTCTGCCCTCCCTCAAAGCCATGCTCTCCCTCCACACTTTCACACAGCCCAGCCAATACATTGGCGTCAGGCAGATTTTGGCACACATATTCATTCAACCCTCTCTCCCTAGAATTCTCTTCCTGCACATTGTCACATAACACCTTTAGCACCCCTTGGTCAGGCACTGGATGTGAAACACACTCACGTAATTTCATCTCCCAGCCAGGCCATCCTTCCATAATCTCACATAGCCACTCACTTTGTCCTTGTTCTGGCACCTGACATACTCCTGACTGAGATACAGGTGAACACATCAACTCATCCTGCCCCGCCTCGCTGTGCAGCTGTTTTTGCCCACTCACACATGGTATTGCAGGCACCCCTAGTACTGGCACAGACACGCACACATGCTCAATTTGCCCTCGCTCCCAGCACAATTGCCGGCATACACCTTCACCTGTTTCCACAGACACCCCTGGTTCAGGCACAGATTGATACACATTCTGCCCTCCCTCCCAGTGAAGTTGTCCTGGCAAACTTTCACCTTGTACCACAGACAACTCTGGTTTTGGCACAGCCT